GTCGCTAGGAGGGCCCCCCAGGCCATCCCACCCAGCAGGAAGTGTCCACACCAGGTGTGGCCCTGTAAGAGGTCACGTGTGCCCTGGCCAGTGGGCAGGTCCAGAAGGGTTCAGCCAGTGGGAGTGGTTCTGCAGACGTGCACCCATGGGAGGGGGCTGCAGGAGTGTGGGCGGGGCTTGGGCAGCCCTGTGAGCCTGAGCCTCCCACGTGCAGAAAGCCAAGAAGAAGAAGATCGAGGTGCTCAAGGCTGGGGGCCTGGGCGTGGACCTGACCTCCAGGCTCTCCGTGATTAGCGTGGAGGACCCACCCCAGCGCACAGCCGGCGTCAAGGTGGAGACCACAGAGGACCTGGTGGCCAAGCTGAGGGAGATTGGGCGCATTTGAGCCCTTTCCCTGAACCCCGGCAATAAAACCATGACTCCTGCGGCGTCTGTCTTTGTTAACTCATTCCCCAGAAACCCATTCTTTGATTCATTCAACAAACATTTACTTAAGTCTCCTGTGTGCTAGGTCCTGTGCTGGGTGACGCTGGGGAGCCAGGGGAGTCACATCTGGCCCCTGCCCGTGAGGAGCTTCCATGGTGAAGGGGTCACAGACAATGGTGCCAGGCCCTTGTTGAGACTTGGGACGCAAGAGGGAATGAGGCCGGAAGGTCTGGTCCTGGTTGGGGAGACAGGCAAGCAACAGACAATCAAAACCTAGTGTGAGGGCTTCCCTGGTGGCGCAGTGCTTGAGAGTCCGCCTGCCGATGCAGGAGACGCGGGTTCGTGCCCCGTTTCGGGAAGATCCCACATGCCGCGGAGCGGCTGGGCCCGTGAGCCATGGCCGCTGAGCCTGCGCGTCCGGAGCCTGTGCTCCGCAAATGGGAGAGGCCACAACAGTGAGAGGCCCGCATAACGCAAGAAAAAAAAAAAAAGAAAACCTAGTGTGAGGATGAAGCGCGGGGACCTGGAGTCAGACATAGTGATTTTAGACCCTCACTCCCACAATTACCAGCTGTGAGATCTTGAGTGAGTTACTTCCTGTCTCTGATCTTCAGTTTCCTCATGTGGATGATCGAAATACTAAGAGCTTGGTGTAGTGGTTGGGGGCCTGGGGTCTAGAGCCCAAGACCCTGGGTTCAGCTCCCGGCCTGGCCAGTCGCTGGCTCTGAGAGGACCTTTGGCAGGTTCCTGTTCTCTGAGCTTGGGTTTCTTCCTCCATCAGGTAGAGTTAGTAATGCCCATTTTCTGGTGTCTGTCATGGCATGACAGAGCTCTCCACAACTTGGTGGCTTAAACCAAAAATCATTTATTTTGCTTGTAAATCTGAAATTTGGGCAGGGCTTGGCGAGGACAGCTTGCCTCTCCTCCATGTAGCAGCAGTCTGGGTGGCTCAGATGGCGTGTCCAAGATGCCTCAGTCATGTGTCTGGCAAGCTGGCTGGGGATGTTGACTTGAGCTGGCTGTTGGCCAGGGACCATGATTCCTCTCCACTGGGATGATTGAGCTTCCTCACATCATGGCAGCTGGGTCCCAGCGGGAGTATTCTATAATGTGGGGAGTGGAGTATGCCAGTCTCTCAAGGCCTAGATGCAGAAACTAGCACAGGGCCACTTGTGTTGTACTCTCTTGGTCTGACAGTCACAGAGCCTACCTAGATCCAAGGGAGGGGGAGATAGACCCTATTTCTTAGTAGGAGGAGGGTTGAATTTGTAACCTTTTTTTTTTTTTTTTGCGGAGCACAGGCTCCGGACGTGCAGGCCCAGCGGCCATGGCTCACGGGTCCAGCTGCTCTGCAGCATGTGGGATCTTCCCGGACCAGGGCACGAACCCATGTCCCCTGCATCGGCAGGCGGACTCTCAACCACTGCACCACCAGGGAAACCCTGTAACCATTTTTAAGCTACAAAACCTACCCCATGTTTTTTTGTTGTTGTTGTTTTGTTTTTTTTAGTATCTATTTATTTATTTATTTGGCTGCTCCAGGTCTTAGTTGTGGCACACGGGATCTAGTTCCCTGACCAGGGATCGAACCTGGGCCCCCTGCACTGGGGGTGCAGAGTCAACCACTGGACCACCAGGGAAGTCCTCCTATGGGGTTTTGAAGAGTAATTAATGTAGCATCTTCAGAACCATATCTGACATGCAGAAAATGCTTACTCTGTATTATAACCATTATTAGCATGGGGTGGTA